AGGGCACGTTCGATGCTCTCCTCTGCCATCCCGAGGTTGTGCGCGTGGTACGGCCCCGTCAGTCCGTCAGCCGTGGTCGACGTCTGTCTCAGTGGTGGTGGATGGGTGGGTGCAGGTCGAGGCGCTGCTCGGCGAGATCGAGCGGGTGACGCGCCGAGGCGGCCTGTACCTATGCATCAGCCAATCGGACAAGCGCGCCTTTTACTTCGAGGACCATTTCGGTACTTCGTGTGTCGTGTCGTGTCGTGTCGTGTCGTGTGTCTTCACACGATCATCATCGATCTCACCACCAACCACTGGCCTGCAGGGGCGAGGGCACAGCTGCGACGGGAGGCGTGGGCCAAGGCCGAGGAGTCTCCGATGGGGCACCTCAACCCGGTGCCCTTCTTCCACCTCTACGCCCTCTCCCTTACTCTCCACCAGTAACTTCTTTTTATCAATTTTTTTATCTGGCTTTTGGTGCTTTGCTTCGTTATTTCGTTTTCTGTCTCTTCCTCCCGTCTAATAGTTGGTCCGCTGGTTCCGTCGAAGGCGCGCGCGGGCCATGGCTTCCTCTTCCTCCTGCAGCACCGCCGCTGCACACACGACACGCAAGGCACACGATGAGACCCTTGAAGAGAGGAAGTCGAGAGCGGAGGCGGGGCTTACCGATCTCGGCGTCAGTGAGGCCCTGGGCGTTGAGGGTGGTCGCGGCGGGGCGCGGGGCAGCGGCTCCCGAGCGCTCGGCCTCCTGGAGCATCCGGGCAAGCTGGGCGTCGGAGACTGCGGTCGACGTCGACGTCGACGGGCCGCGGGCGCTGCTGCGCGCCTCGGCGGCTTGGCGGGCCTCGGCGCGCTTCCGGGCGTCCTCCCGATCCTGCTCGGCCTGCAGCCTCTGGGCCAGCTCCGCGTCATTGTGGTAGGTGGTGCCCTTATCTGCGCACGCACGACACGACATGACACGCATTGGTGAGCGCACGACACACGCCACGTCCGGAGGAATTTGAGGCAGGCGGTACCCTCCCACTGCTTCCAGACGAGGGCCTGGCCCATGGCCATGGGTAGGAGCGCTTCGTCGGTCCCGCTCTTGGGCAGCATCAGTCGGGGCTCGCCGCCCTCCGTGCCCTGCGGCTGCTGGTGCTGCGGCAGAGGCCGCACCGAGGACGCGCCGTGGGCCGGGCGCGGGGCCGGGGCGCTGGCCACCGGTGTCGGCTGTGGTGTGGAGATGCCCAACGACGAGCCGAGCTGCGCCGCGAGCTGCTTCACGCTCGAGCGC